GCCACGCGCACCGTCCTCCTCGACCGCTTCGGCTTCGCGCCGGGCGATGTCACCGTGCTCACCGACGATCCCGGCGCCGGCGCCGTGCTCCCGATCGGCGCCGGCGTCAGGCAAGCGCTGGCCGACATGGTGGCGCGCGCGGCGCCCGGGGACGTGCTCTTCTTCCACTTTCAGCGGGCACGGCACGCTCGTCCCGCCCGTCAGCGGCCATGGCGGCCGCGACGACGAGGCCATCGTGCCCTGCGACTTCAACCTCATCACAGGTCTGTGTCCGTCTACGCACATCCAAGCACTCCCATAGTTCCATGCACGCACGCTTGGCTGGCGCGTCGTCCTTTCAGACATCTCACAGACATGCTTGCATGCACGCTCGATCGCGCGCGCGACGTCGGTGCCGCACGGCAGACGTGGACTTCCGGGAGCTGGTGGACCGCGCCGCCGCGGGCGCCACCTTCACCATGGTGTCCGACTCGTGCCACAGCGGCGGCCTCATCGACCAGGAGAAGGAGCAGATCGGCCCCGACGCCGCCGCCGCTGACCCCGACCTCCACGCCCACGCCGTCCGGTTCCTCCCGTACGCCGCGGTGCTCGGCCACCTGTCGGGCGCGTCAGGCCTGGGCGCGTCGCACCACGTCGCCGACCACCTCGTGGCGCTATTCGGCGCCGACGCCAGCGCCAAGTTCCACTTCCACCGTCACGGCAACAGCAGCGGCGGCGAGCGCACCGACGACGCCGACGCCGGGATCCTGCTGAGCGGGTGCCAGAAGGACGAGCTGTCGGCGGACGTGGAGGCGGACGGCAGCAAGGCGGCGTGCGGGGCGTTCACCGCCGCACTGCAGGCCGTGCTGGCGGTGCACCCGGCGCCGATGAGCAACCGGGAGGTGGTGCGCCGCGCCAGGGAGGTGCTCGGCGAGCAGGGGTTCCAGCAGCACCCCTGCCTCTACTGCAGTGACGCCAACGCCGACGCGCCGTTCCTCGGCCAGCGGGAGACCAAGGCCAAGAGCAACTGAGCAAGGAGGCGGCCGCCATGCCCACGCTCTCGTGATTGATTACTTATTATTATTCCGCTGCCATTTGTGCGTGCGCTTATTATTATTTATTAGTAAATAACTACCTGTGTGCATTGCATACAGAGTAAAATACGAGGCAGCTAGCATGCAGCATGATCATGCCATTACAAATCCCTCGTTATATTGTCTATCTGCAATTTTAGTACATTTATCTGCATGCAACTCGATCTTCATGCCCTTTGTGTTTATCCCTCGATCTCTTCTCAAATTCACGTGTTTATCGATTATTGTACCCAAATGCTTCATTAAAAAATCTAAACATTTCTAATTCACGTAAGATTGCAAGTGGCGTACAACTCCATTCCTGTATTCCTTAGATTTACATGCATTCCAAAAAAAGATCCTTAATTAGTTAAATAATAACGTACCCTTATTCCCACCGGGCTATAACTAGAGTGATTGGGCGGGTAGGGATGGAAATTCTACCTGCGGGTGCGGATACCCACGGGTATTGTGCTCGGCAGTTTGGGCGCCGTTCGCTGGTCTGATTTGTTCAGACCAGCCGGCTGGTTGTCTCACCGATTACTGTGTATTTTTTCAGACAGTCGTAACAGTGTTTTTCTCTCACAACGATCAGTTAGTTTTAGTCAAATTTTAGACCAGCGAATGGGCTAAAAATACAAATGATTTCATTTATTTTAGTGATAATCTATCTTCCGAATGTGGGTATCCATGGGTATCATACCCGATCACTACGGAGACGGCTCCTTTGCGAGTGTCCCATACTTTGCCGAGTGCTTTTATCGGGCACTTTTCGGAAAGAGGCTATTTGCCGAGTGGACAGAGAGAAAGCACTCGGCAAACAACTGGCACTCGCAAACAATAACACTCAAGAAGACCAGGTTTGCTTTGAGTGTTGGGCACTCAGCAAACCAGTAACACTCGGCAAAGGGCCGTCGCCGTTAACGGCCGGCACGCCGTTAACCCTTTGCCATATAATACCTGGTGCTCCATGTTCCAATGTAGCACATTTCTCGGACTTTTTCTATATTTCTTTAATTTATTTTATTTAATTAAATTTTCTTTGATAATTCAAATTATAACTACTAGTCATTGAACAATGAAAAAAATGAATGAAAAAAATGATATTCATGTTATTTAGTATAATGTGAGGTCAGTTCGAGAAACAGACCACCAATTTTGAAAATCTTGTTCACGAAACATGACCCACGAACTTGCGGTCGAGTTGTTTTAAATTCTATAAAAAAAACAAGCGAAGTCCGAAAATCATGAAACTTGTCAAGATATGATATCATATGTGGCTGTGATAAAAATTTGAGAAGGTTTCGCGCAAGTTGTCACACACGATGCTTGCAAACCAAAGAATCTCCAAGAAGTTTCATGATTTCGTGAAGAGGTAACGGGTGGTAAGCATCGATGCGTGACAAACTTGTGCGAAACCTCCTTAATTTTTTATCACAGCCTCCACATATGATATCATGACATCTCCACAAGTTTCAAGATTTTTGGTCTTCGCTTGCTTTTTATAGAATTTAAAACAACTCGACCGCAAGTTCGTGGTCGTGTTTCGTGAACAAGATGTTCAAATTGGTGGTCTATTCTAGGATACGGCCTCACATTATACTAAATAACATGAATATCATTTTCCATTCATTTTTTCATTGTTCAATGACTAGCGGTTATAATTTGAATTATCAAAGAAACTTCAATTAAATGAAATAAATTAAAGAAATATAGAAAAAGTCCGAGAAATGTGCCACATTGAAACATGGAGTACCAGGTATTGTATGAGGACTGCAGAAAAAGTTTGGAGGTCAAAAGTGAAGAAAAAAATATAGTTTGCCGAGTGTCAAAAAATGACACTCGGCAAATCACCACTTTGCCGAGTGTCAGGACGTATGGCACTCGGCAAAGAATTTTAAAAAATTTTAAAAGAACCCCTCTTTGCCGAGTGCCAGGGCGGGTGGCACTCAAAGAAAGAATTTAAAAAAATTAAAAAAAAATAGTTTGCCGAGTGCCAGATCAGGGGCATTCGGCAAAGGGGGATTTAACCCGCCGGCCCAGCCGGCCCACACACACCGCACACACGCACGCAGGCAGACCACGCCAGAGCCGCCGCCGCCACCGCCCGCACTCCAAGCGCCGCCGAGGAGGAGGAGAAAGAGAGGAGGAGGAGAGAGAGGCCAAGAGCTTGGCAGCGCTCTCTCCGACGCCCGTCCTGCGGCGAAGGCGGCACCAGGTAATAGTTGCTTCTCGCGGTTTTGATTTATCGATCTTAGCAACGAGGATTCACTACATTAGTTGTGTATTTGTTTTTTTAAAATTTTATGGATAAATTTTGCTAGCAGAATGTTAGTCCGATTGTTAATTGATCGTTATAAGTAATTCATGGCTATACATATGCGAATGTTACTACATGAGTTGTGTATTTCGTTTATGGAATTGTATCTCGAGCAAACCAAACGGCAATGGTTCCATGTGTTCTGTACACGTGTTGTCTGACTGAATACGGCTTGCTTTGAGCTTGCTTCAAGTCGGGTTCACTCTTTGTGTGGCTGGTGGAGCGAGTGACTAGTTCCACACACGTATCAAAGTTTAGTTCTTAGACGGTCTCCAACGGCCTCACCCAAACCTAAACATGCATAGTCCATGTTGGTTCCGGTGAAAAAAACAAGGTCCAACTGAGTAGGCAAACCGAAGACGCAGTATGTGTCGGTGTCGAATGGCAACCCAAATAAGTGTCCGTCTCTCTCATCGACCCATATCTCTGTCACGCCCGCGCAACCGTGCGCAACCGTTTCGCGGGAAGGGAAAGAAGCGCCCCAGCGAGTCGCCGTCGGCGAGATCTGCACCGAGCTAGGCTTCGCAGGTACGGATCCCTCCGCCCCACCGCCGCGTCCTCCCGCTGGTGGTAGTAGTAGCTCCCTGTTCTTTATCTCCTTCTCCAGGTTGAATACGAACTCGCTCGCCCTCCCGTTTAGAATCCTAGATCTCGAATCTCATACGTTTGTCTCTCATACCGGAGGTTCTTGCGGCTCCCTACTGCCCCTGCCTTTCTTTGCGGTTGCTGCGGCCGGAGTCGTGCGCGTGCGCCGTCGTCGTCGTCCGAGGAACTCTGGCGTTTGCGATGGCGACATAATTCCGCTTGTGGCTTTCGTCTCAGGTAGGTTTCTCTATGAGAGTTCGCCCTCATATTTTGTTCTTGCGGCAATGGACGTTTTTTTAGTTGGGTTATCTATTTGGAAAACAGAGCACTGTGATTCGCATATAGCTTTGGAGGATTCGTAGTTCTTGGTGTGCGCTATGGTACTGTCCGATGTGGATTCAATAGAAAATACTGGAACCTCTGATTCTTCCCAGTGCTCTAGATTTCTAGGATCCTTGTCACTCTGTGGGTTCATGAGGCTTGTGAAATTTTCACTTTACACTTCGGTGTACTTTGCATCTATTTTCTCTTCCTTCCTACTACCACTATGTGCTGATGTGTTGCATCTGCCCGAACTGCAGGTCCATTGTTGCTCGCAGATCTTAGGCTTTTTTTCTGGTGGTGGTGATGGGTTGCTAAAAGTGGAACAGCGTTCTTAAATCGCATCCGACATCCTAGTACTTGGCTTCTTCCACTGAACTGTTTTTTCCACTTCAAAATAGTATATGCTTACCTTGCCTTTGATTACATATTCTTGCTGAATAACTACGATTCATCTACACTTTCAAGCTTGTGACATTGGTGATGGGCTTGCAAGGAAGGAAGTGTCCGTGTTACTCTATGAGACATCTTAAACTAAATAATATTAAATACAGTAGAAGACTTGTTTTGTTGACTACTTCCCCGTGGCATATATGTTGCTGGTGGTTTTAGATAGGGACCAAATTGCCTATGGATGGAAAAACCAAATGCATCGTCTGTGCTGATATATTCTTTTGCTTCTTGTTGTGCATCACCATTATTCAATCTCTTTGAACAGGACGATGGATAACATTTTTAGTGGCACAAGTGGTCGCGTTGGCGAATCTGGAGAAATCTTTGGGGCAGATCAATGGCCTTTTGGTTATTCTGCTGCTTTGCAATCTTTGGATGTTCCTCCAAACCCCCAGGTTTATTGCAGCCATGCATGATGGTTTGTTCTATTTACATATCAATACATCAATGATTAACAGTTCTTTTCATCACTAGTTCAACATGCATGGCTCCTCCCAGATGTCCTGCCCACCTATGAATGGGCAACTTAGTCAGGGGTTCTCCATTGACGACACCCATGGCTCTCAGGACCCTCCATCATTGAAATCATAGAGGGCCGCAAAGAAGAAAAACGTGTCCAGGAGAGGAACTGCATTCACCAAAGAGGACTTGGTGGTGTGTTCGGCATTTCTGAATATTAGCAAAGACCCTATTACTGGTAATAGTTTGCAACGTCTTTTAAGAAATCTTTGACCCTTTGATGCCCAAATAACATGGTGGCATAACATGCAGGTACGAATCAGACTTCAGGTGGTTATTACAAGAGGATGCATGATTATTTCAATGAGCATAAGCCTGAAGGGTCCAACCGTAGCCAGATTGCAATTCAGCATAGGTGGGCATTGATTCAGAAAGCGATGAACAAGTTCTGTGGGCACAAAGAAGCTATTGATAGGCTGAATGAGAGCGGAAAAAATGAGCAGGATCGGGTATACTTCCACTCATGTTGTCCTCCATCTCTCTAATTTTCATATGTTTATTTTTTGAATCGGTTTAGTCTATATTCATATGTACAGATTGATGATGCTGTACAAATGTACGAGAGGACAGAACCTTTTACCATCATGCATTCTTTGAAAAAACTTAGCAATGAGGCCAAATGGAACAATAAGTTTCTTGAGCTAAACAAGCAGACATCACCGGATGGAATGTCATCTCCAACTCAAAGCCATAGTGTGGCTGGCCATGCAGAATCTGGGAATGAGAATATAGACACATCATGTCTTGAGGGTAGGGATAGTGCGAAGAGGCGTAGATCAAAGAGCTTCACAGAGACATCGTCATCTAGTACAGCTGTTGAAGTCCTCCAGCGGTTGCAGGAGAAATCAGAGAAGACCGAACAGAAGCAAGATCAGCAAATGACTGAAATCCTTAGTAGGAAGGATGAAAAAATTAGAATTCAAAAGGATCTTTTCAACCTTCAGAAGAAGCATATGAAGATGAGTGTACAACAGAAAAAGAAGGAAAATGCGATTAGAGAGGAGTCAGAGGCTCACCTGATATCAGCTGAGTCTAGTATTATGTCAGTTGACATTGAGAAGGTCCCCCTTTATCTGAAAAACTATTATCCGGGCATGCAGCGGCAAATCATGGAGCGCAGAGGATTCATCAGCCCCTCGAACAATGAAGACTAAGGAGCGTGTGTTAAACTTGAGTTGAACTAGAGTTGAATAAATGTATTGTGTGCAACTTTTCTATTATCTGTTGAACTGATGTATTATCTCTAGTGTTGTGAACTGCTGTTTGATCTTTTGGTAAGCACTGGCTGTGAATGAAAATCCTCCTGTTTGCAATATCTGAATGTTGGATGCTTGAGTTTGATTTCTTCAGGTTTCATTCTTGCAAGCACTTATTTGATTTGTTTAATCCCTGTGAGAGTTGTAGCCTTAATCTTGCTCTGTATGAATTAATATCCTGCTGCTTGTCAAGTTTGCCTGAGACTTTGCTCAGTTCGTGTGTAACAACCGGCTACCAAGGCTTCATCCTTTTTGTTATGTCATTTTGATGCAATAGGGGAACATCTTTTCAAGCAATCATTAGTCAGTGACTGAAGCTTAATTTATTCTCTTTGCTTGAGAAATGTACTTTGTTGTTCTGTCGCTGCTCAAGTTGGACTGATCAGTTTGCTTGAGCATTGTTTCTTCAGTTTTTGAGTTCAGCCAACATTGTTGTTTTCTGTATTTTTAGTAGCAGTTGTGAGCTCTTGCTATTTTCTAGCGCATTGTTCTCTGCAAGTACAGTACCCATTTTCAGCAGCTAGTCCTAAAGCTGTTTTTTTTCCAAGTTGCAATTGCACCATAGAAATTCTTGTAACTATCTATTAGTTTCCTATGTAATTGTTTGGCGTCAGAGGCATGTATAATTTTGTGGGTGAGGATTTCAGTATGTGTCCATAGTTGTAGTTATCCTATATCCCAAATTGTAACCGAGCTCCAAACAACATTTTAGCGTCTGAGAAATCGGATGAACGGACACCTAATTAACCTTTGTGGCAAGTAGCTAGCACCGAATTAGCTGAATTGACAATGACAAGCTAAAGAACAAGGGTAATTGGTGGCAATTCTACCCTTTATCGAATCTGATTTACATCTATTGCGTGCAGAGTGCCAAGTAGTATCCGGTTTCATGGGATTATCTCATTATCGTCATCAGCCAGTTTTTTACATCTCGGATGTTTGGACTCTGAAAAATACTCTAGAAAACTTTTGTTTTACCAAGAGTGGATCAGCATTATAAATCATTAATTTTGTGCCTGTCAGGTTGTCGTCGTCCTCATAGGAAAGATGCTTCAGCAAGCATTTAGCTCATATCAACAAGTTTACGCACCGATAAACCCGATTCTGATTCGACACTCCCACTGAAGTTCTAGCATGCATATCCTCCCCTCAAGATGACTCTTATCACACACCTATAAGTGAATTAAGAAATCAACACAATCCGCACATAATTAGATTCAAGCCATCTAATCCTAGATAGAATAGAAAAGGGATTGTAGATTCCCATCCACCCCAACTACCGAGAACATCAATGCGAGCTAGGTTGAAGCCAAAGCTTATCCAAGCAAGCATGGCCAAGAACAGAAATAAGCAAGCATGGCCAAGAATAGAAAAGGGACTTGCAAGTCTTATCGTTGATTTCAAGGCAATCTATTGTTACCCATCTGCAGACCGAGATATCTCTTACATTAAATAACTGTCGAGGAAAAATTGATGGAAGTTTTTAATGCCAAGAGCACTTGATGGTCCACTTGGGTTAATTTTTGTCGATCGCATTGAAATGCGTAGTAATGAAGATGCTAGTCAAATTCCTAGAAGTGATTATATTATTAGCTTTCAAGTTTTTATCATACACATGGCTACTCATATTACAAATCAAGGCATAAGGCAACAAACTTAAGTTGATGTGAGCTGCACGACATTTCTCATTGAAAGAATCCTAGAGTTTGTTTCCATCTCTAATTATCTCTAAACAAACATATCTTTATTTACAACAATTTCTTGTCTGGTTGAAGTATTTAACAATTTAAAGCTAGGTAGGATAATTGGAATATGTGTAGGAGTGTTATTAATACCACACTGAATGTGTGGGTGCATCAGCCGACTTATAAGCCACAGAAAAGATGGTGGGCGGTGGGAGGAGGAGGAGGAGCAGCCCTTGAGGAGGGAGTCGTCGCCTGCCGCCCCATCAGCGTGGAGGGAGGAGGAGGCAGGTGCCTAGGAGGACGCCGAGGAGGCGCAGGAGGACGACGAGGAGGAGGCGCGGACGGGGTTCCGCTTCCTCTAGTTCGTCGAAAGTCTACTTGCGAGGTCCCGCGAGCCTCCCTTAGCGACCGATACCTCGTGAGAGACGCCCGTTGATTCGACATGAGGGGAAAAAGTAAGTAACTTTAGATGTTATCACTACTTTATATGATATGTTGAAAATCAAAATAGAAACTAATAATTTTTCTTAATCACTTGGGCAAGAACTGGACAGTTGTGGCGAGTGGAGGTGGTCACACACGCCAAGTCAATGGCATCCTCGATCTTCTATGCAAGGAGCATTTCCCTGGCCTGGTTGAGTACGCTGGGGTGACGGGGCCGGCCTACTCGTTTGACCACTACGCCGCCACCCCCGATGCTGCAGATCGGGCCCGCAGGGTATTCAACAACAAGGCGGAGGGGGTGAAGCAAGAGCTGTGAGTAAGTCTTCCTCGCACTACATTGCTCAATACATCGCATTCATTGGATATTCTTGAAATAATGAATGGATACATCGTGTTTGTATGCAGGATTTCTTTAGATGTCAGGACGAACATGAGGGCAGGGCGGATACGGTGGCTACCAAATGCTGCAAAAAACTCGTCGTGGACATGCATTACGAGGCACGCATCTAGGCCGTTGTAACTTACCACGGGACCGTCCTTGGAACGAAGGTCACCAAAAGGGACACAAGAACCATGATGCTGACCCGGGACCAGATACTGCAGTAAATCTGTAACATTAATACTTATTCCTTTTGAGATTAAGTAGGCTTAATTTCATCTTCTAATATGTCATGTACTTGATGGCTGTAGATGATTCCTTATTGGTGCGCCACATCCCGATCTTTGGGAAAGGATGGTGGACAAGTGGTGCTCACGCGAGTGGGAGGAGACGCACAACTTGTGTCGGGAGCGGCGTTTGATGATGCCAGTGTAGCACACCATCAAGGCAGCCCGCAACCTCGCCGGATACTGCAGAAACATGGTTACGCGAATTCATTTATTTATTCTAACACTCAATTCGCATGATTTCTAATCATCTTTCTGCTTTTTCTCGCAATGGCATCACATGGTGGCCACCTTGCTCCATCTTCAAGGCATTTGCTATGGCCCACAAGGGCAAGGCGACGTCCGACGCCGACTACAACCCGAAGGATAGGCCCGAGGCGTACAGCAATGCGACCGTCCACAACCGCCTCAGTGAGTACACATCGATGGCAAGGGAGGTCCATGGGTCAAAGTACGATCCGAGCATCGAGGACCTTGATGGAGAAGTCGTCATGAGGGTGGGAGGAGGCAAGAAGCATGGGTGGTACTGGATTAGCGACAGCGCAATCGACTCGACCACTACTCCCGCCTCTCCCAGATTCGAGCAAGCAAAGACGAAAGCGAGAGCTCAGCCATACGACCTCGACAGGACACTTCACACCACCGGTGGAGGCACTCGAGGTTATTTCTAGTTTATTAAATGCTTCATTGGTTTTTTTCATACCTTTCCTTTGCATTATTGTAACATTGGGGTGAATATATTGTAGGCCTAGCTGAACAAGAGAGGAGGATACGGGGAATGTATGCAAAGTAAGGTGGAGGGGTGGAGGCCGAGCAAATGGAGGATGGCGGAGATTCTTGATACATGCAAAGTCTTGGCGCCAAGAACGGGTGTAGTTCCGACACCTTCGCTATTCGCTTCCACCTCCAACTCCACCTCCTCACTATTCTACTCCCTGTGAGTATAAATGTTTTAGTTTGTATGTTCATGCTTATGGTCAAACCTAGTGGAGTATGAAAGTTTTATTCATGTATGGTATATATTTATCTTATCTCACACATGCAATCTCTTCTCCTTTGTGCAGAATCAATCGGTGGCATCGAATGATCCTCATGCTTCAGCGAATCCTTCACCAAATTAGTCTCATTGGCCATCTTGGTGATGATACTTGTGGTTGTTAATGGTACTTCTATTTGCAATTGTGGTTGTAGATGATGGAGCACTTGGATTACTTGTGAACTTATTTGTGATATATTGTGAGACATGTGACGTTTGTGATATATATGTGACGTTTGTGATATATATGTGGTGTTGGTGATATATATGTCTTTGTTGATGATATATATGTGATGTTGGTGATATATATGTGTTGTTGATGATATATATGTGATGTTGGTGATATTTGTTATATATATCTTCAGTTTGTTTGGATGGAATGTAAAAAACAAATAAAAAGGTTGTTTTCAGTCACTTTGCCGAGTGCAATGGCCATGACACTCGGCAAAGTGACGACCTGAGAACATGCCTGGGAACATGCTTTGCCGAGTGCACAGGCCATTGCACTTGGCAAACATCACAGATTTGCCGAAAGCCACCAGACGAACACTCGGCAAAGGTCACCGTTTGCCGAGTGTCTTGACGGTGGCACTCGGCACAGTGGCCACCTTTGCCGAGTGTCTGAGTCAACGGCACTCGGCAAAGAGGCGACCTTTGCCGAGTGCTTGACCTTGACACTCGGCAAAGCCGCCATCACGGTGGCGCTCGCCGTCACGGCAACTTTTTTTTGCCGAGTGTCAGATTAGCACTCGGCAAAGGATTTGCCGAGTGCCCGATAAAGTGCACTTTCGGCAAAGAGGTCTTTGCCAATAAATCATTTATCGAGCACTTTCGGCAAAGGCTTTGCCGAGTGTATATCGCCTTTTGCCGAGTGCCCAAGCTGAATCCGGTAGTGGATGGGTGAAGGTGCGGGCACAAAATCTTACCCACGCAGTATAGGTGTGGATATGAAATTTTCTGCGATAGGAATTTGTCTCATAGGTCATGCTTGCTAGAGTTTTGAGACAAACTAAGCATCCTCCCAATCATGACTCTACAAATCCACGATATCTTCCTACCCAACCATT